GAAGTATTGAAATGAGAGTACACAAAGAGAGTAGACATCTGGAAATGGTTGTGCAAAAAAAAAATCATAGACTCCTAGAAAAAAAATAAAAGATATATAATTGGGGACTGTAATGCATTCTTGGTGTCTTTTGATATTTGTGTAAATGGAAAATGAGAATAAGGAAATAGGACTGTGGTCATATTAGGGTATTGATAGTGGAAAGAGAAAAATCAAGATTTTTAGGAAAAAATTAAGATATATAAAGAGTATGAAATGTTTTTCTGTCTTTTTTTTCTCTTTTTCTTGGTGTATGTGTTAAGGGATAATGGGACTAAAGATTGTGGGTATATTAAGACAATGACGCGGAAGTGACGCGCTACGTCGATCACGTTGGGGGCGTAGCCCCGATCGTCGGAGGAAAAACTCTATGGTTTTCCCTCTGATCAGGGCCACGCCCCCAATGTGATCGACATGGTTGCATCACCTTCGGTGACGCGGCTACACTGTGCTTCGGGGGGCGGAGTTCCCCCGGGGCCCGATTCCACGGCGGCGGTAATTGGGCCTCCAAAGCGGGGGTTTACTCGCCACCCGCCCCCACTTGGCAGCGCTACTCCTCTCTGCTATTTAGGCCTCCGCTCTGGAAAAGTGGACATTTCTGTCCCAACTAATCCCACTTCTCCTTTGTCCTATTCCCCATTTCCCAACATTTATACCTTTAGCTTAAAAAGTTACTCCTGCTCCGAATTGGGGAAGCTCTGTTTGACTTTTGGTTATTGTTATTATATTGTTAGTTAGGATAAGGAATGTGCTATTTACCTGTGCTTTGATTTGGTATTTTCTAGTATTCACTTAGGATTAGTTCCCCCCACACACACACAGGCTGAGGACAGACTGGCAGTATAAAGCATGAGGGAGGTGGAGCAAAAATACCCGGACCAAGTTGTGCCAGGGATTCCCGGTCGCAGTGCACCTACTGATGCAAGAGCATACCGGGGAGGAGGCGCAAGGGAGCATTCACACTGTTGGCCCACCCCTGGCGGAGGCATGGCTGTAAGCAGCTGTTTTTCACTCCAGTGACACGCACTTATGCGCATAGGCTCCAGGGGTTTGCTACTGCTTTCACCTGGTACTTTTTTAACACGGTAGGGAATCATCAGAGGATGGGCTGAGTACGGCTGGGGAACGCCTGACAGCTGTGGCTGTATGAACCGGCTCCTTCAATCTGTTTGTGAAATGTGCCTATATCAGGCCAAACTGCCAGTCTGAACTCAGCCACACTATTGTACCAAATCCCTCAATAAACCCCATATTCCTTTTAAAATCCTTAAATCAGGTCTCTATTGTCTTTTTCCTGTTACAACAGCAATTGATGTAATTGTCATGTTCTAATATTATATATTTTTCTCTTTCTCCACTTCATAAAGATTGAATAATTTCAGGTCACATCAGAATTGCAAGGTCCAAAACAGTCCATTTCAGAATTGAGTTTGAGAATGAGATGGCTTGGGCCACAGTGATACAGCATTTCATTGGGAATATTGACTGAATTTTGGAATTTGAGCATGGGATGACTTTCATCTGGTAGTCTGTAGCCTTTAAAAATGACCATTTAGTAAACAACATGAAAATATGAGCCCAGCTAGTTCAGATCAAGAGCCTTTGTAGTCCAGTATTGTGTTTTCTGAGGTGGTCAGTTAGATGCCCCTGAAAAATCCACAAACAGGCACAGAAACCAAAGCTTTCTACTTTTATTGATCCCTACCATCACTTGGCATTCTGATGAATATTGCTCCTTACCATGCAGGTTCCATGTTGCCATCAAGGAATTATCTTCCATGGATATTCTAACCCCTCTTTGCAGACATTTAAGTTAATGGCCCTCATGACATCTTATTGCAATGAGTTCCACCTTGTGTTGCATTGTATTGAAAAGTACTTCATTTTGTTGTCCTGAATCTCCCACCTGTAAAATTTCATTGGGGCCACCTGGTATTTTGGGAGACGGAGAACATTTCCTACGTCCATTTTCTATGTTCTATGCATAATTTTATAAACCTCTATAAATGTATGCATGGTATAGAGAAAGTGGATAAAAAGAACTTTACTAATTAGTAGACAGCTAATCAACCTTTCAGTTTTTCTTCCTATATACAACTTTACTTTCCTAATAAAGGCACTATTCTACAAATCTGAGATTTTTTTTACACACCAGAAGCAAACCACATTTCCTAAGGCTTTGGGAGGGTGGCTTCCAAATAGAACCATTCTGAGCAACTATTATTTATGAGCAACTATTATTTAACTTAGAAAAGGCTGGGTTTCTATTGATTCCTAATAAAATAATCAATTTTGTAAGCTATCATAAACAAGTTATATTGCTTATGATGCATTTTCAAGTGTTTGTTGGTTCCTTCCAGTGCTCCACTGAACTAGCAGAATGCCCCAGCACTGCGTCTCTGTGCCCCATTATATCACTATGTTAACCCATAAGAACATTTGTGTATGGTAAAAAAAAGCACAATTGTTTTAAAAAGTAAAGTAATAAATAGTATAACCTGCATTGTAGCCACTGTTTCCATCATATGCCTAAGGGCTAATTCACATGTCACAAAGTCCACGTGTTCCCTGTGTGGACTTCCAACAGATGTGTTCCTGGAGTTGCTTGCTGGAAACTTCATTCCCAGATCTGCAATGGGACCTATTCAGATTGGGAACATGGCATGTGAATACAGAGGGCTTAAGCACTCCACATGCCATTTTCTTAACCTGAAATGGTCCCAGTACTGTTAGCTACACATAAGTTTCCTCAGTGGGGCAAATACCAGCTCCCTGAGGCTGCTTAAGCCTCCTCCCCTCGTGCTCCATGTTCCCAGTGAGAATCAAGCCTTCTCATTGCATAGCTGAACAAAAATCCTTGTGATTTGTTAGCTGAGAAGCTCATAAGTACGGTGCGATAAAAATAACTTTCTCCTGTTTGTTTCAAGCAACCTTTGAAATGGGATCTCCAGTGTTTGTTATCATAGTCTATCAATAATTATTAACAATCTTCCATGAATTTCTCAGATCCTTTAAAAGTCATCTCAGATAGTTGTCAGCATGACACCTAGTGAAGAAATCCTTGGTGTAGTGTTTAAGAGTGTCAGGCTGTAATCTGGACAACTGGGTTTGATTCCACACTCCACATGAAATCTGCTAGGTGATCTTGGGCTAGTTGTAGTTCTCTCAGAACTCTCTCAGCTTCTCTCAGAAAAGGGGAAGGTGATTATAAGCCACTTTGAGACTCCTTGGTAGAGAAAAGTGGGGTATAAAAACCAGCTCTTCTTTCTTTGATCTGAATTTACTGTCAATCAAATTAATTTGATTGCCTCAAATTCTGGGATTTGATTGAACAATTAATCACTTTTTTTTTACAGAGGTCACTCACTGTCCATAAATTTATATCATCCCCCCTAATCATTTTTCCTACACTGCCTTCATCAGCTGATAACCATAATCAGATTTAAAAACCCTTAAAAAAACCTTGGTTGCCAATGTAATGAGTTTCTGGAAAACTATAATATGATTCCAACTAAAAATGTTTATGTAAATGCACAGTTTTTAACATATTTAACATATTAAAAAGGGCTTTATATCAGTTGATAATCTTAAGGAATTAGTTGGCTCCTTGGCTCCAAATGGAAAACTGACCATAATGTGTTTTTCATTGTTTTACACAATATTCCTGACTTCATAACATCGCTTCTCAAATTCCATTCCAAACTCTCATTTATTGTTGTGTTTATATATTTAAAAGATTGTAACCCCACAGCTTTCATGTTGGTTTACAAGTTACTTCAATAAAATATAGAATACTAATAATCAATAACAGAAATTAGAGAAGATAGCAGTTCAAAAGTGTATTAATTTCCATTAATGTGTCAACCAAGCACATCTCAATAGGAGTAACAATGATATCAGATAAATATACCAAGGGAGGAAATTCCCAAAGTCAAGGTGCCACCATAGTAAAGGGCTTCTTGCCTATAGATACCTGCCTACCTAGGATTGTGGCAAGGGCTGCTAAACAATAGCATTAGGCAAAGGAGCCAGTTAATAGACTAATAGTGCAATCCTAAACACAATTTCCTCAGAGTAAACACCACTGAGTAGACTTGACTTCTAAGTAGACCTCCTTAGGATTGTTTTCATGGCCATCTGGAAAAAGGTGTCCCTTTCAAACAATATGAGTCCTAGACCAGTTAGATTGTTGTAGTTAAAAACCCCACAGAGAGGATTGTTCTTTGTAACAAGTTGGAAGCCAGTGAATATTAAATATGTTCACCACAGCAGTTCCCAGATATCATCTTCACCGTTTCATCTGGAGCAGTTGAAGTTTTGTAACATTTATTTTTCATATTACATTATTGTAAGAGTTTAAAATACACTGAAGAAACAGGACTCAGAAAAATTCATGTGTCTTACCAGACTAACTGTACAGTCCTCGGCTGTTATACCCTTCTAAATCTGTTGAGGTGGATGGGTTTAGGAGAGTACAGCTCCGCTAAGGACTGCATTGCTAGTCACTTTCTCCCAAACCAAACTAAGTTCTTCATACAACCGATGGCACCAGAATGTGGGCATCTTAGAGTGTGTTCATCTGTAGCAATTAGGTTACCAGCCTCTAGGTGGGGCATGGAGTTCTCCAGAATTACCATCTCCAGATTACAGAGATCAGTTCCCCTAGAAAAAAATGGCAGCTCTGGAGAGCTCTATGTCATTACACCTCACTGAGGTCCTACCCCTCCCCAAATTCTACCCTCCTGAGACTCCACCTCCCAAATCTTCAGGAATTTCCCAAGTTGGAGTTGACAATCCTAGTAGCAATGGGTCACAAGACAACTGATAAGATACATGACTAAGCAGTCTAGCTAGGGAAAGCTAAGGCACTTGCAGTCTGCTTTACAAACTTAATCTGAAATTCTTCTATCAGAGTCCAAGAGAAGATCAGTAATCGACTGGGAAGACTAGCTTTGCTTGATTTAGGCAGATGGTGCAAAGCCCACCCTGTTGTTGGCCATATCAAAGACTGAATAATACTCCTTCAGAAAAACATCTCCCAGGATCCATAGAGGCTGTCCATTTGGGGAAGGCAGATATGTGGGCTCAATTGCAACATAGCAATATCCATTGTTCTGTAAAACAAAATTTAAGAGGAAAGGTTTTCAGCTGCATCTCCACCAAGGAAAATAACACAAAATATATTTAAAGAAGTCTGGGATCGAGTCCTAACTAGATCACATCACTAGGATATAACTGTCCATCACTAGGTCTCTTCAGTAATAATATGCCCGAAGCTTAGGGACTTTCCTCAAGAACATAATTATAGGAAATAGACCCACATTATGTGTGCTCCCACCAAGCACCTGTCTTCAGCCTATGCTGACCCTGTGCATAGCAAACAAATGGGGGCAACAATAGGTGGTACAATAAGTAGAATTTGCACACTGACAGAAACAACAGCAGTGTGGGATGCAATCTGTCCATAATTCACAGGTTTTACTACTCTTCATATTCTTACTTTTAGCAGATTTGAGAAAACTTTGGCATCTATAAACTGAAGGAAAGAATTCAGAACTGAATGACACATTAATGCAAAATTAATTACCTCAAGGAGATGACCACAAGAAAAATCCGGGTAACAGAATAACAGTTTTCTCAAATAAAGAGATGGCACCCCTGTATAACAGTTACATTTGCTATTATTTCTTAAACAGAAGTCCCATTATAGAGAGTCATTAGAACTGAGTGAAATTGTCATAAAGTCTTGGACACTCAAAGAATCTTGCTTAAAACATTCATTGGAGAATTAAGTTAACATGGTATACATACACTGGAGACATAGGCAGAAGGAGGCAGTGGGAACTGGGATCCATTAATGACAAAAGTGATGGTGGGCATGTTCTGGACATCATTGCAGTTAACAACATACTATGAAAGAAGAAATATGAAAAGGAGGTTAACTCTGGGAGAAGGTTAGAAGAGACATTCATTGGATCAATACTTCACCAAAAACAGATTGATAAAATATTTCAGTGCAATTCTGAGAGCAGATTACTATAAATAAATGTACCCATCCTATGCACAGCAGCTCTCCCAGCTGCCTTGCTCACAGATATAAGAATAGCCTATGCAGAACAGACCAATGTTCGTCTAGCCTAGCTTTCTGTTCCCAAAGGCAGCAAGCAGTCTAATGATTATGGAGGAGATGATCTCACGTCTCTTTAATTCAGTCTGCTTGCTTGGCCATTATCTTTGGTGTGACTTCACTCTGCTCAATATCATTTCTTTATTTAATGATATTTAAATCCCACTTTGAGGTAGTTTATAACACTAAACATTCTTAAAAACAGAAACCAACAAGATAAAGGGATAGTAAGAACAAAAACAGACAAAATACAACAAAACAATAAAAACTGCCTAAAGATAAAATGAGATAAAGACTTTTCAAAAGTATCATGGGATAAAAGCAGGACAATGATAACAGAAACGGGTGGGATCTAAAACCTTAGATGATAATAAAAACATCGTTGCCTCAGGGCTAATAGTTGATATATTTGGCATTAGGGAAACTTCTTTAGTGAGAGTGTTCAATGACTCAGGTGCCATTGCAGAAAAGGCCCTGTCTCAATTGCTGCCCTGCTTAGCCTGCAGATGTGAGGGCACACACAGCAACACCTGTGGTGAAGAACTTAAATTTCTGATGATAAGTTAGCATACCTCCTCCCCTCAGCCAATAAATGGATAGTAGATGTCCTCCTTCACCTACCTCCCCATTGTATTGTTCTGCTCCTACAGCTTGTAGGAAGCTTCCTATGTACTGTCCCGGGACAGTAAGCTGACATGTACCAGTGTCCACAATTGCTTGGCAACCTTGGCTGCACCAGCCAGTTGCCTGGCTTCCAATTGCAAACCTGTAGAGACAAGAACAAATATTGCCTTTGAGTAAACTTGGCGACAAAGCCAGATAGAGTTGAGAAAAATATAAAACTCCCAATAATCAATAAGAAGGGGGGATCCTATATATATACACATATGCATGCACATACATACATACTAGGAATAAGGTCCATTGTGGAAATAAATACAACGAGCTCTAGAAAGAGGCTCTGGGTGG